TTAAGTGTATTTGAAGTGTACTAAGTATTATGTTCGTAACCTGTATTTAAATCAGGCTTTATAATTATTTGAGTGACCGAGATCATGTAAGTGTATTTCAAGTGTACTATGTATTAATGTATTGAGCTGTACTTAAATCAGGTTTTAAAATTGTTTGACTGATAGAGATCATGCAATGTTATTATTTGTTTTTTGATTGTTATTATGAACCTGCCTGAGGACCAAAGATGGAAATTAGCTATTAGCTATAATCTGGCATATTGCATCTCTTCTCTTTGCTGAGATTAATGTTTTTGTATGCATGGTCCTTCTATAAATAAATACAAAATACAAGTAGGGTTTTTTTCTCTTTTTTTTTTACAATCAATGCTTAATTGCATGAGGTGTCCACCATAAATGAATATGAGAAGTTAAAGGGGCCCTGTTATGTTTTTTGGGGGTTCGCCTTCCCTGTAATATGTGTTATATAGGTTTTTGTGGAGGTAAATTGATGGCAAAGGCTACAATTCTAAAGTTCCCCCTAGAGGGAGTTTCTCTCCCACACACCCTGCCTGAAATGCCTCCATTGGACACCTTTGTTTACTTCAAATATGTGATATCACTATGTAACAGTTGCACTTATATTGGCTAGTAAAAATACTAATATGACCATGAACATGAGCAGAATAAGTCATTGTTAAAGGAGTGGTGCACTCTGGGGAATATCTTGGGCACTTTCACTGCATCATGTCCTTGATAAGAAAGCAACACATGTGTTATCAGTCGCCCCAAGGAATATATATAAGTGAGACAGGCAGCCAGCCCAGATCCCTGCATGTGTAGATGTCACAGCCTGAAGAGAAAACTTAGCCCTCCTCAGCACCTCCACAATCATCTGTGCATAGTTAAGCACACACATGACAGCATAGTAGATAGTGGCATACAGATGAGGAAAAGAGAGATAAAAAGACGTGGGGATTTCTGTGGGTCGAAAGAGGGCAGTTGTTCTCCTGTGAAATCTCTTTTCTGAGCAGCTTTCTCCATCAGGCGCAGTCCAACATTAAATATCAACAAACACTGACCTACTTAACTGTAGACAAATAAATAAATAAATAAAATGACTGCTGAAAGCTTACAAGAAACGACAGATTCTCCCTATATATGTGAAGCGTTGCAGTAGAAGATATACACTGTCAGCTGTCTGCATTGATTTCCCTCTAGGGAAGTCGATAGGCAGTACACACAAGAAGGTTTAAATTAAAGTGCACAAAATCCAGATTTTGAAATGGACAAAGGTAACTTTTAGTTTTGTGTTACTGCATCATAATGGCCCCATCTTTAAAACAAAGTCTTGTCCTGAGGTTGCACTTCATTATGGTGATCTGTTACTTCAGGTCTAGACAGGCTTGAGCTGAATACCAACCTAGAAGCTGAATACTAATTACCAACTTGCCTGATAATCATGCATAATAGTTACATATTTGCAAATGAGAAAGAGATATTAATTACTATTCAGATTCACACAGTGAGCCCTGACATTGTTTCAGTCACAAAGCATACTGATTGCGAAGCTGCTTTTGTGAGTGCAACATTTCTGCTCAAGCTGTTAGGAAAGTCAACCCACTGTTGTTGCAAAGTCCTGCCTGGTTCTGGTGACTACAGTATGGTGTGTGATCTGATGGAACAATATGTACAGAAGTCCGATATCAGCACTGAACAAGTGCAATAAATCACAGGTTTGACTTGTAAATGTATTCTCCGGACTTCCCTTCAATCTTTAAGCCACTCACGTTTGATCGCCTGTCGTAGTTTCACCATCACTGTTAAAATGCATGAGGGGTTAAGAGATGCACATTATTCTCTGAGTAGATTACCATCAATTTAGCTGTGTCTCTAAGAAAGAGAGATTGTATAGGGAATGAGGGAGTAAGTGATTGACTGATCACCTGATGTCAAAATACAGTATGTGAGTGAATATATATGAGGAACATCAAATCCATGAAGCATACAGATCATAACTCCATCTACAAGCTGGGAAGTAAAGCTTCAATACTTCATTAACTCCTCCCAACCAGAGGCTCATTTGAATTTCCACTGTCAATTTGCCAATCATTTTCATCCAAAGCATATCCCTACTCCACATTCCTCCATGCTTTTTGGGTTAGCTGCATCCTTAAAGGCAATACAGAGACATTGAAAAATAAACTTCAAAGAGAGTCAATCAATGGGCAACGGAGCCTGTCACTTTGGCCAGAGAAATTCCATCAGGGTCCATTCATCAGGTCTGACTCCAGAGATTAGCCCCCGCCTCACTGTGGCGACTCAGGCCTGGGGGACACAAACTTACTTTACTCAGATTGAGGCCCTCCACTGCCTCAGAAGAGCTACCTCATATATCTTGCCACAGAGGTTAAAGTCAACAGAACTGCTGCTGACTTCTCTGTATGCTGAAGCAGATCTCCTACCCTCTTCACTCAGGAGAAAACAGTTCAGACAAAGAGGCACTGTACTGTAACACTCCCGATAACATAACACATCTCTTGCATTTTTATTAATATCCTCTGGGCATTTATGTGTAATGCATTATTATAACTAAATGCCTTATCACAAGGACTTCAAGAATGCAATAACCTGGAACTTGTAATACAGAGATGCTGAATATATTAGTTTCCCTGCTACCACTGCTAACTGTGTCAGTGTGGGTAGGTTAGCATTGCAATATAACCATTTTGGACTCATATCGACAGTTTTACCAAAAGGTAGGATGTTTTATCAGCTTTCTTTATTACAAGCATTATTATAAGTTGTCATAACCTGTCTCCTATTCAACCAAAAGTACCACTCAACCACCAAAAGTTAATTTAAAGATTTGGGTGTTATGCTAGTAGCGGCTAACGTAGCCTCAAGTGGGCAACGGGTTTGTTTTTTCAAACAAATTATGGAATAGTCCTCGCAAGACCTATAAACAGACTTTGATGTGTGAAATGTAGGAATATTTATGAGAAATAAAGCACTGTGTGAATCGTTATGAGCATGAGTGGATGAATTAGGGACCTTGAGAAAGCTAGAGTTTTGCTAGCCAAGTGGTTTCAGCGCATGCCCTGTAACTGCAATATTCTGAGTTTGATTCCTGCCTTGGAAGCTTTGTTGGCTATGTTGAAAGCCATACCCTTCTCTCCCCCTCACATGTCTACACTTTCCTCTTTTATATAAAGACGAAAATACCTTAAAAGTGAAGGGACTTGTGTAATGAAATCAGACTTGAGGATCACAAAAACCTTTGGGTCAACAGCGCTGATCACATTTCTATAAAACACACTAAAGTAAGTTGTCTGACTTCCAAGTAAACATTTACAATTCCACACAGATAGTACATCTATGCTCAAAGTCTCTACTGCAATTAATACGCCAACATTAGTACTGTACATGTAGAAAAAGATAATTGAAGCACCTTTCATAAGGTCAAATTTAGTATAATAAACCTTATCTAAAGTATTTTCTGCATTTCTCTTCTCCATTCTTTGTGACTTCCTTATCAGCTCTGCTTTAGTCATAAACCCTTATGTCGAAGTAAGAAAGCTTTTAACTTCAACCACTGAGAGCAATACAATTACTTAGTGTCGCAGTCTTCTTTAAGCTCTTGGTTGTCACAACCCTAGAGTGTGCAACCTATAACCCCATAAACTGTTGAGTTTAAACATTCTTGCCACTACAGACACACCCAAACCATTTTAACAGATAAAGTCATTAGGTTTACAATTTGACATGACAAAACATCTAGATGTGAACACTTTTACACACAAGATAGAAAAAACAAAATCAACAAAACCCTACAGGTATTTATTTCTGCGCATGTACTGTATTACATCATGTTATCAGCCTTTTAGAAGTTGTATTTCCACTGCATGTGTGACAAAAATAATACCAAAGTGCCTATGGTATGTATCAGAGAGGAACAACTGCTGCATATCTATATCTGTCCCAGAAGCCTGTGACAGAGGGCACACTCTCTTCTGTCAGGCACCACAACAAGCTGCCAACAGCCACCAGAGGTAGTGGGAAATTAGAGCCACCTTTCACCTGGTGTAACAGCTGAAGGATATGATGAGCGAAAACGAGGGAGAAAACCAGGAGGGAATTAAAATGAACAGATGCATGAAGGTCAGGATTGACTGGTGACATGATTCCATTGCAGATATTAACTCTTGCTGTGTTCTTACTTTCTTTTTTGTGTGATGCACATGCCCTTAAAAAGTATAGACCTGCATGAACCTTGAACTTTTACCCTCTTGCTCACATATATTGCAAAGGATTGTGGGTCAGAATAGTCAGAAAAGCTTGCATAAAGCAAAATGATCCGATACAGAAGGACATCCTGGTATCTTTGGCATACTGCATTTTACATACTCAAAAATGCAATACTACATAGTATGATAGTATACTCTCTTTTATATTGGACTTATACTATTAATAATGGTGAATAATGAAATGTCCAATCTCTTTAACAGGTTAGTCAGACAATATTCACAAAAAAACCATACATTGAAATGTCACATGTTTTTTAATCCTGTGAACCATTGACAACAATTGTTTGGGATAAGCTACATCCGGTTTTAGAAAGACAGGCAATATTTGCTAAAATATATCTTATAAGACAAAGACAATTACAAACAGACTATCTGAAATCCTTTGGATTAAAAATGTAGCGGGGTTCACAATGAATAGCTGATATCCATTTCTGCCTTCTTCATTATCTCTCCTTAAAAAATAAAGTCGGTATGAACAGGTAGAATGAGGACAGCAGCCTGTTTAAAAGTGTGCACCTAGGACTGTTTACGTACACCTGTATTTTTACTGGTTTGAAGTGACACAAGTTCACTTTTTCTTTTTTTCTCAAATGTTTAAATCCTTGGTTTCACATTGATCAGATCAGATTGTTGGCCGTGTCTCTATTTCTGATTCCAGCAACTGTGCGACTAACATGGAGGAGAGAACAGCAGCACGTCAAAGTCTTGTGTTACCTTTGAAAGTGAGGGAAGAGGAAATGGAGGTTCAGAGTGTGCTAGTGAGGGCTCTACTTCATCAGAGATACGAGGAATCCTTCCATCTTGTTTCCTGTGAGTCAGAGAGGATAGAGGGGTGGGAGGAGGGAGAGAGAAATAGAGGTTGAGCTTAGTTTCTCATTTAAGCAACAAGAGCAGAGGAAATGTCTGCAAGACAATTGACTCATCCCATCGAAGAGGATCATTCAACTCTTACTACAACGAGAAGGGCGCTATTATTGCGCCACTGTCCTGATATTATTTCTTAACTCAGGAGTAATACAAATACTTCCTGTCCTTTGTGTTAAGCTTGCCGGCAGATTTTGCCCTCACAGCAGCTAGGTTGAAGGCGATGAGACGAGAGCGAGATTGTGACATAGAAGAGATCAGCTGCACAGATGAAGAGGGAAGTGTATAAACCAGAGGACAATAAAACAATTATAAAAGCAGAAGAAGAAAGAACCCTCGGCTTTCATCTGTTAACCCGCTGCTGCCCTCACCTCTCTTTCCCTGTTCCCCTCGGCCACTTCTCTGCTCAGTGCTATTGGAGTGATTTGCCAGTCCGAGCAGGATTCTGGTCACAGCTTATTACTTCACACTTTGTCTCACAAAACAAGTCAGTTGCAAGAACTGGCAGCCCGTCTGTGCATGCAACCTGTTCACAAACCTGCAGCAGAGGGCATTTCTGAACACTGCTGTGGAGCAAAGACTCAGAACAATAGCACAATCTGATTTATTGGTGAGAATCTATGGTGAGAATAGACACTTGCATATTTCCTCCATTCTGCCATTTTGGCATACATCAAAGTGGTTTGTTATGTGTTGAAATAGGATAAATTACAAAGTGGTCTTTCTTCTGCAGACGGTCAATTAATTAATATCGTAGCTTCCTATCTGACAAGGCTCTGACTATTACAACTGAAAGTCTGAGTAAACAGAGCTGCACTTTTATGGCAGCAGTCTGCTGACCTGGAGTTCAGGTAAAAAGATCTATTTGTAACAAGACAGTAACACCATTCTTTGTTGCCTCTGATCTCTGCTGAATCCCAGGAAATGACTAAAAGAGGCTGTCATATCTTTCCCGCAGCATCACCAGCTTCTCAGAACTGACATTCCTTTAGAGAGAAGCTCTGTAACATCTTTCATATAATGCAGCTGGAAAACGATGAAAAGATTGTGTCAAATGGAGCCTCCAGCCAAGAATGATGCATTCAAATATGGCTACAAAGAAGTGTCTCACTGTGTTTGTCTGTTAGAAATCTGCCTACTTTGTCTTGAGGTAACACTTATTTAACTATGGGAGCAGTTAAGAAAACAATAAAGCAAAAACCCACATTTCAAAACCCCAAAGTATAATTTGATTTAATTACCATTTTTTGTTCTACCTTTACACTTGAAAGACTATTACGCTGAATTCATGCTTCTTTCATCATTGTAGAGTAGGTTGGAGTCACCTGCCCGCTACTTTAGCATGCAGATCATTATCTAAATCTCCCATGTGAGACTATTTCCATAATGAAAGGCAAAGCTCAAAGGTGCAAATCAATCTTGATTTAGGAAAACTCCACAGACAGAAAGATGATGGCTGCCTGACAGCCTGCTACTTTCACTGCTGATGGAACGCTTGGTGGCTCTCATCACGGAGGATGAATAATATGTGGTGGTGCGTGTGTGTGTGTGTTTATACGATCAATTTCTAAAGCAGATAACAGAAACATATCTTGGGGAAGGGTAAATGCTAAGTTTGATTCAGGGAGATATTTCAGGCTGGCACATTCTGATGAATGGCATGACATGATGATATTGTATGATATGGATTTATTAGGTCACCAATCCAAGAGGAACAATCAGTATTTCATCATCTGCTGTGAAGGCACCAGGGTCGGCGTCATGGGGGGTCATTCGCGGGCCATGCCCCCCCAAATGAGTCACTGTGCCCCCCCAACGCAGGGTTGGCAAGCCTTGCCACTTTGCCGTTTTTTTCTTTTTCTAATCATATAAGTGAAAACGTTTCCACTAAAGGTTTTTTGTGTGAAATACATCAGAAATAAAGAATACAAATATAAAACACAGCCTGAGGTGTGCTCACTGCTGCTCTCTGATTGTTGCTTGACGAATGACCCCCGACCTTTTTTTTGTTATCATTACGTGGCTGTGTGTTTAGATGAAAGCCCAGTGGCGATCTGTTCATCTGTTATACTGATTATACAGTAAAGCCATCAAAAATAATATGATATACAGTACAGTACAAGTACATGGGTCTCTGTGTTTCATTCAAGCTCGGCTCTCTGTGTGTGGCACGAGCGCATTTTGTGAGTGCGCGAGCGGTAACGTGGAATGTTGTTAGCATCTGGTTAGCTAGCTATGCTAACGGATATAAAGGGCTGTTTCTACACCAAGGTGGAGGAGAGTCCTCTCCTGTCAGACTGTGAGGATCTTATAACGTCAGCTCAGTGAGGTAAGGACTCTCTCAGTGTTTAGATAGTTCACTTTAGTGTAAGTTATCTCAGTGGGTCTCAAACGGTTTGGTCACCATTTATGTAAGTATTTTCGAGGAATACCTTTATATGATCATTATAGTTATTAAAGAGAGAATAAATAAAAAACGGGTATGAAATACTATAGGACAGTAACACAAGAATACAGTTTAAAAGGGGAATGATTAGTAAAATATCCATAAAGAAAAAGTAAATCTGTGTACAGTTCTGTTTCATATGGATGCTGAGAGATGTAGGCTATCCATAGATCTCTTCATTTTGCTCTCAAAGTGCACCAGATTGATGCATTTAACTTCAATATTTTAAAAATAATCTTCCCGGGGGAGCATGCCCCCAGACCCTCCTAGAGGAGGTTAGGTCCACCCCCACCTAAAACATGTTCACATGGATAGGATACTAAATACATTTGCACACTTTTATATGGTGGCCTATGTCCATATCAAATCAAATCAAATCAAGTTTTATTTATATAGCACATTTTTCAACGATTTTTGGTCGAGCCAAAGTGCTGTACATAGGCTATAATAAAAAATAACCTACAGTAAAGACACTTTACAGCAAATACAACAGCACAGTTTGTGCAGAATATCAGTATGAGAAAACGACACCCTCTGTCCTTATATGTTTCTGTTTTGGTGGTCGTGCCAGCCACAACCGTGCATGTATGCACAAGTCATAGGTGCACTATACAATAGCACTACACCCCTGCAATGTGTGTGAAAGACAATAGACTTTACAGCATGTTTTTTGAAATTGAAGTTGCGTTGGTGTTTGTGTGTTGGTTGTTGACGGCAGTGTGTGCCCCCCCTTGGTAAATGATTGCCCCCCCATTCGATTTGTTCTAGAGCCGACCCTGGAAGGCACTAAGGCACACTGGTGCAGTAGATTAATTACACCGCACAGTCTGGAGTAATGGTTGTTAACTTTTTACACAGCTTTGCTAAATACTCACTTCTAATTGGTCATTTTCAACATCCTACACGCAGTGGTCGCCAACCAGTCGATCGCGATCGACCGGTCGATCGCGAGTGTGGTGCGGGTAGATCGCGGACCGTTAAAAAAAGTAACAACATAAAGAAAAATTTAATTAAAATAATAATACGTTTTTAAATGTAAACCTATCATCCACCACCCCGTTAGCAGGTGCCACTTGATTGACGTATATTTGAGACACCTCAATAATATAATACATTAACCGTGCTTTACGTGAACCTCATCATGACACATGAGAGGACGGCAGGACTGCAGTTTCCCGTGTTCAGTGAATGCAACAGAGGCAAGTCACCAGACCAATCAGAGAGTTGCATGGAAATACACGTGTGCTTGTGTCATTCAAGCTAGGCTCTGTGTGTGTGTGGCAATAGCACGTAAGTGAGAGAGAGAGGGAGAGAGAGGGAGAAAGGGAGAGAGAGGGAGAGAGGGAGAGAGGGAGAGAGGGAGAGAGGGAGAGAGAGGGACCGGTGCTAGCGGGGACCGTGATGTTAGCATCTGATTAGCTAGCTGCACTAACGGACATAGGAGATGTTTCCACAACAGGCTGGAGGAGAGTCCTCCCCTGTCAGACTGAGGGGCTCAGGTGAGCTAAAGCAGTGGTTCTCAAAGTGGGGTCCGCGACCCCCCGGGGGTCCGTGGCACTCTGCCAGGGGGTCCGTGAAAAGTTTTCAGATTCATTAATTTAAATTATCATGATATCATTTTTTTTTTTTTTCAACAAATAATCTTTTTTTTTTTTTAATCTAAAATATTTCATAGATTACGTTCAAATCTAACAAATAGATACATTTAAAAATCAAGCGCGTTACCGTGGAAACAACAATAACTGTTACGTCAGTCAAAGAGCGCCGCTGCAAGTATCATAGATATATAACACGGCTAGCATACTACGAAGATGGACAGATTTTTAAAACGACCGGTTACGGCTACAAATGAAGTAAATGAAAACAGACAGGGTCCACAGAAAACTACCGGTATGCTTAGTCCTAACTTACTTTAGTTACTGTACTGCAAAAAGCAGACGGCTGCGCTCAACACACAGACTCAAAACCATGGACACACTGGCACATAAGTTACATAAACAATTTCTAGGCCTAAATTGCATAAGCTACAGTATTGCAACTAAGCAGACAGTTTGTGTCTCTATAACTCTAGACTATCTGCGCTATCTCCTCCATCTCTCTAGCTCTATCTCTCTAGCCTCTCTATCTCCTCTCTCTCTCGTCCTCTCTCTCTCTCTCTCGCTCTCTCTCTCTCGCTCTCTATCCTCTCTCTCTCTCTCTCTCTCTCTCTCTCTGTGTGTGTGTGAACAAATTGTAATTTAAAACACATTTCCTACATGTCTACACCACTTTGCCCTCTTTGGATTTAATCAAGAAACATTAACCCTGTATAATGTTAACCAAAACTGTAAAATTATGTTATATTACTAAAAATGTATTATTGGGAATCGCGAGAAGTTTCAGAGCGACAGAGACACAGAGCGTCCCCGTAACCATGGTAACTCACTCTCACTCCTGCCTGGTGCGCATGGCGCGAGAGGAGAGGGAGAGACGCAGAAGTGAGACTGATTACTTTGAGC